TGAGATACCCGGCTATACTAGAAATAAAACACCCAGAAAGGGGGTGCAACTTTGCCCTGTGCATCCCACTAAATCCTTCCCTCTATGCTATGTATATATTTTGTATATGTGTTTTATATATTATCTGGTATTTATATAAATAATTAACTATACAAGATAGATTTTCTTTTATTTTCAAATATTTTATATATATCTAATTAATTAATTAATATAAAAAAAAACATTAAAAAACTCTTAATTCTATCTATCTAAAAGCCACTTTGTTAATGCTATTAAATTGGAATGGAATTAATAAGGGTTTTTTTAGATACGTTATCCCGGATAACCTATGATAATGCTACAAAATCCGATTAAATGTGGAACTAAATTAGACTAAAGCGTGTTTTCAGAAGAATATAGGAACGTCTCGTAATTAAAATATTCGAATTTTTATGCTCTTTACCATAATTTGTTTTCATTTTCCCGACTATTATATATAACAGAGGGAAAATATGGCGATCGATCAAAAAATGATCCCTCAAGACTTTTACATTTTTGAATTCAAAGCATGAAAAGTCGTAAAATGTAAAATCATTTCGGAGTTTTTTNGCAAATTTAGAATATGAAGATACAAAAATAAGTCTTAATTTCTGTAGACGTCGATTTGTATTTACGTGCATAGTGATCCAGCTATTTTAACAAGGCAACAAATATCAATACAAACATTAATTTTGATTTGTCGAATAGTATTTTTCAGAAACTTTAACAAAATAATTGTAAATTTTATATAAATTCGTTATGCTGAGATTATTTAAACTTAATTTGAAATCAAATGGTGAATTAGAATTACATATTTGAGATATTTTATTGTGGTTACGCAATTTAGAAAGTTCTTTACAATTATGAATTAGATGAAATAATGAAAATTCTTCAAAATTACATAAGCATGTATATTCCGCAGGAAAGTCAGGTTTAATACGACCATTCAGTATAAAAAGTTTGTTTACAGTTATGAGGTCTAATAATTTTTTTCCCAAATTATTAATCTGTTTATCCTTAGATTTTCGACTATTATAAATTAAATGATTAGGCCCCTTGTATTTGGAGTTCATTTTCTCACCAATTCTGGAATTGAAATCGCCCAATATTATAATGTATGGAATTATATAGTGCCATATATCAATAACCTTGAAGATTTCATTAAGAGTATTTAGATCACCGGGTGGCACATAAGTTAACATTATCATCATTGTTTTATTATTCTTATTTAATAATTTATTTCTAGTTATTGCGATGAGAAGTAGTATATAATTCCTAGATTTTTTAACTTGGATTATTTTACAATACTCCCTTTCAATCAATAAACATAAACCACCACTCAGTCGTCCGGGACCTACTGATTTACTTGCCAGTGCAGATTCTATTATTAATTTATTCGAGAAAGTTGTAGTATAAAACTTATCTGATGTTATCCAAGTTTCCGTCATGGCAATAATAACCGGATTATATTTAATATGCAGAGAATTAACAAATGTAGTTTTGTATTTAAATCCTTGGCAATTCCAATTTACTATAGCAAAGGAGTGGTTACTCTCAAAATTATGTGAACTTTGTATATGCCTTTGATTTGTGTTATATCATCTTCCCAAGTTTATCAAGTTGGAATAAGGTAAAAAGGTATCTACATATACCAGATTTTTCATATTAATATTATAAGTGATTTTGTCAGTTCCTGTTATTAAAATATCATTATGTAATTTGGCTTGTGCATTTTGTTTTCGTATATCATGTAACGCTGGAAGTAAATTTTTGCGTCTTATTCTTGAGTTTTTAGTGAGATCCGGAGATATTTGAGTATCTCTCCAATCTTCAAGCTGATTTTGCATTTTCTTCCGAATAAAAGCAAAAAAAATCTGATTTTGAAGTTGCTTATTTTTAAAAGTTATTTTTATGGTTATTTTCGGTGGTTTCGTTAATTGAACTACATCTAAAATATCATCTTGAACTATATTACAAATATTCAGTAAAGAAATAATAAAGTTATGAATTCCTTCTTTAGAAACAGTTCTCGAGTTAGGATAGTTATATATTATGATGTTATTACGATTATAATCATTAACTAGAGAATCTATTCTAAATTGTGTGAGGTCCTTCTCAATTTGCATAGTGTTAATTTGTTGTCGTAAATTCGTAATCTGTTCCTCCATTTTTGCCTGTTTTTCCTTAGTTTCATTTAAGTTTTCATAAATTAAATTCAGTTCCTCCTTTATATCAACAATTTGATTAAATAGTTTATCATTAGATGTTTTAATAAGATTCGATATCTTATTCCATAAAATGGCAGATGAAGTGTCTAATAAGTCATCCGGGTTATGTAGTAAGGTATCAAGTACATTTGGCTCACCTGAAAAATCCTGAATATTATGTTGATCTGACTTCTCGTTAATGTTCCTGGTCTCCATGTAGGTGTCTTGTAGATTTTTATCCGGTTGTAAGTTAAAGTCTGTAATTAATCGGGAACTTGTTGCAGAGTTATCATGGCGTTTACTCACTGATTTGGCTCGGCTGAGAGGCGGTCTTCCACGCTTAATTGGAGAACGTTGCATTGCCAATAATATTAAACTTTCCTTATTATTATTATGCTTTTAACTATTAATTTTCCTTTATCAAGTCAAAAAGATGATTAAATCAAATATTTGATTTTAAAATTATTGTCACAAATGAAGTGCGTAGAAAAGTTTACCAGCAGCACCAAGAGTTGGGAACGCCCCCTTAATGTGCATTAAATATTTATTGCTTGTTTGTTTATTTCATTGCATGATATATTTTATTTAATTACTGTATAAGCATTCACTATATGTTGTTCTGTACATATACATAACTTATAAATACAAATTTATACTACATCAATTGAACATTACAATATTTTAGAATTATATATAAATTGTATTGTTCTTCATCAAAATTGTATTCTATGTATATTTATCATAAATAAGAAGAAATTTTTTTATATATTAACATCTAAAACCTGTAGTTATATATTAAAGCCTAATAATTAATAGTAGTAGTAATATAGCCTAATATAATCCAGCAATCATTTGGCTTTAATTTATAAAGTGAATGTTATTATACATTTGATTATTTACTGCATTAAAGTATTTTTAAGTTGATTTGGATTTTCAATAATACCATTTTGTAACTGTATAGCTATATGTATATATTAGGTGTTCTTTATTTACAAAATGTTTGTGTCCACTTCCTAAGTTTTTTGCATTTGATCAGAATTACTCAAATATGAAGTTTCATCTCGATAGGATGATATTAATTGTGCTGACTTGAGCTTTAAATTTGAATATGAAGAATAATTCACTTGGGGGATATTAAGCAACAGTAAAAATCAATAACTAAGAAATATAACATTTTATTAAGTTTTTGATTTAGTAATTGTCTGTAACATTCATTACAAGATTAGTCTTCAATGCGTTTTTTTTCAATCTGGATATAGCCTTTGATGGTCTTGTACACAATGCAATGCAAACTCCTTTTGTTCTTTATTCACAATCAATAAAAATTCAAAGATTGATAGTAATAGATATTGATGTTAATCCATCCAATAGCCAGATTAACAGCTCTTTCAGTGGAGGCATTTACAACTCTTAACATGTTAACTGTCCTTTGGGCTGATAAATATGAAGTGTTGTTTTTCCTCATTGAAAGACATTCCTAGACAAAATTTGTATTTATTTGTAACTGAGAAAAGAATCTTCTTTGAATTGAAATATAACAATATTTTATATTTCAATTCAAAGAAGAGTTCAATTTGAAGTTTTTCAGATAAATGTCACAGTCAAATTCACAACAAGAATATACGTTACTGAATTTTCGCAAAAACGTTTATATTACAAGTAAAACGTATATACAGTTACAAAAGTTCACAAAACAACAATTACAAAACGTCAGGTGTAACAAAGTTCAAATGCTTTTAATCCACGACAACAGGTCCGTCGAAAAGACACCTTGCGACGAACTTCTTCTTGCATTAGTTACTGCACAATGAGACGAAACAATCTTCTAGGCCAGCTTAGACGAAGTTAGAACGAACATGAGTTCCTTTGATGTGTCCTAGGCAAACTAAACTTTCCGCCTAAACTCAATCCTTTTATACGGATTGAAGCAAATCGGATTCCACCGATCAGTGCTTAGTAGTGCTACAAGACGTCCGCTGGTGGTACGATGTCTTCTAGCCAATCCGCAGTTGAGCTTCCAAAGTCACCAGATTGCCGTTCTCGTGGTGACAACCGTCGTTTGTTTGAAAAGACAGAAAAAGCACGGGAAATCGTATGATGGACGATTTTATGCTGACAGTCACAAGTGTTGGTTATTCTTTAATTCTTTTTTAAAGCTGCTGTAGAAATAGTTGTGTATGTCACTTCATAAAAGCCCTTAATCAAGAAACAGAAATTTTGATTAGGGGGCTTTTACAGCTGCATTGCACTTAAGCCATAGTTTAATGTAAACTGTTACAACAAATAGAGAAATATCACATAAAGCTTCTTCTCTGATGGATAGTTTAAATTCTGACCTTAGGAGAAACATTTTTAGGGAATAAATTACCCTTTCCATCTATTGAGCTTGATGCAAAGCCTTCTCACTTTTTCTGAAAAGATCATTCATTCAGACCTACAAGATTCACACTATCACTTATACTCATAATTATCTTAACCTCTTGTATGTTGTAAAAACACACTATTTTTAGGACTGCATAATTTGCATGACATAATGTTAATGTAAAGGTACACAAATACATCTAACACAGCCAGAAACTTAGCACAAGCTGACAGTGCACCACACATAATGACCAATCTAGGCCTTCTGAGTGAAGCACAGTATGTCCAGATGTGTTTTTGATACATTGACACTCAAGTCAGCATGGGTTAATATTCATTAACTGCCGAGAAATGGGGACACTCTAATGTATATATAAAATATATATTATATATAAGTCATAAATTATATTTTGTAATTCTTAATTGGTTTACTGTCTCATCTTGTAAGTGTGCCTAAAAATGGAGAAGTTGTTAAAACAACATACATTAAAAATTCGAAGACTGATAGTATTGATATTAACTTAGGGGTAAGTAAACAGCAAGATCAGTTTATTAGTCTTGTAAGTAAATAGATATATTATACTTAATAAAAAGTTGTTTTATACAAAGTAGCAGATCAAATATCCAGCAAACCTGGGACCAGAAGTCTGGATTTTTCGATTTTTTGGACACAAACTAAATATATACTAAAATATAAAATGAAATTATATTTAACACACTATGTCAGCATTACATTAGAACATGGTGCCATGGAAACTAAAAGAAAGCAGTTGCAAGGTGAACTACAGCTATACTACAGCCTATCAAATTCAAAAATAGCAAGTTTTGTGGTAAATCTGGATTTCTGGAAGCCAGATATTTTGTCTGTATTGTATATGCTTCATTTTTTGACTTAAAAACTGAATAAGTTCTGAAATAATTTACAAAATAAAAACAATTTCCTTTATATTTTCATTTAATTAATCTTTATTAATGTAGGAGAAATCTTCCTTTATCTAGGGAAGGTACAGAACAAAAATACAGTGTGTTAAAAAATTACTAAAGATTACAAAAAGATTGTTATAAATAATACAAACACAAGAATATTTAGAGCAAAGTTTCATAATTTATACAAATATTTTAGAAAACAATCTTATTTTAAACCAATAAAAAATGAATACAGTAGAGCGTCGATTATCCGAATCAATTGGGGACTGGGGTTGTTTGGATAACTGATATTTCGGATAACTGATTATGTACGAAAAAATAGTTTAATTTATCCCATGTTGAAATTTTTCTTCGTTGCGTGTCGCTTTGCGTTCAATTTTCGTCGATGTTAAGCCTAACGAAGACTATTGTATCATTAAAAATTATTTTTTTATTTTGTACAAACAAAATAAATATATTGAAAAATATAAAAACAATAAAAAAAACTATACTTCAGAAGTTAATTTAGTATCAAAAACGTAAAATATGTGAGTAGCCCAAGATATAGTCAAAGATTGCAGCACCACAGCACCAGCGAAAATTTAAATTTGCCGACTGAAATTCTTTCAGATGATTGACGTTTTGGATAATCAACGCTCTACTGTATAATAAATAAGTTAAATGATTATAACAAAAATAAATATTTTTTGATTCTTAAACATTATGTAGTGTAATAAATTCAAACACTTGGCATTCTATCATCTTTATTTAGTTCAGTTAATGAGGTGTATTTTGAGGTAGTGTAAGTCTATTAAGGTCTTATTAATCTCACCTTGTATTTTTTTTTCCCGTATTCGTTGTCTTGATGTTGAGTTGCATGTGTGGTTTGCTTCTGAGGTATGACCAAGTTGTACCTCTTTCGGGTCGTGTTACAGGCTGGTTAAGCCTGCCCACTGGTCAAAGGATGGCTTGTCAAATTTTTTTCTATCCTGGAAGGTCAGGATTCTTTTTGTCAGGTAGAGTGGAGGAGATGAGAGGGGTCATCGGTAAGGCGTTGGCAATACCTGAGTAATAGACACTATTTAACAATAAAACAAAATTTTATTAGACAACAACTTAGATAATATAACTAACATCGAGATTCTATCGACCTTTCATACAGAAGTGGATGGGTGCACGCCGAGAGTTTACAATATTTGTTATCATACCTCCAGGGATGTGGATACTGAACGACGTAATGGGGATCAGAGAGATTCAGCAAGGGTTGATGTAACTTCAGTCGGACTCATACTGGCGACCAAAAACCTTTTTCTCTGGCCTTCGATGCTCGGGCAGCGATGACTCTCGAACGGCGCTGACGGATGCTTGATTCCCAGACGGCAATGACGGACCCCCTTCTTCTTTCGTCACCCCTCTTTTATATCTCAAGTCACGTTATCATTTTTCACCAATCGCAAATTTTTTTGCAATAAGTTCCCTGTGATTCATTCTCGAGTTCCAGAAAGAAAGGAAACGGCTCTGGGGAAGGAAATGTGTTCATCCTTTTGTTATAAGATTTCGAAGAGATTTTGAAACAGGAGAAAAGTGGAGGGTTTCTTTGTTTAATTTAAAAAAAAATTTTTTTGTTTAATTTTATTCGGTCTGACCCTCACACATCACACATACGTTTTCTTTTTCATATGATGAAATTCATCGTTTCTGTTTCCGTAAATATCTTTGATAATCTGAAACTGTTTTGTGACTCTTCTTTGATTCTTAAACTTGAATTTCATAGACTTAATAGACTTACACTACCTCAAAATACACCTCATCAACTGAAGTAAATAAAGATGATAGAACGCCAAGTGTTTGAATTTATTACATACATAGTGTTTAAGAATCAAAGAAGAGTCACAACACGGTTTCAGATTATCAAAAAAAAATAAATAGTTGAGTTGGTTTTTAAAGATGTTTTAGAAAGTTCACATATTTATAAATTGAGATTTTAGAAAGTTCTAACTAACAGTTGTTATCTGGCAAAAATTCCTCCTCAAAATATTTTAACCTCAACCTCTGATAAAATTTACATTTTAAAAGAAAATGTGATGTGTTTAGTTCTTTACATTTCTAAACAGATATTTGGGAATAGTTTAACAATTTGAATTTTATAACAAACATTAAATTTATTTAATCTCACTTGAAGTATTGAAGAAAAAATATCATAATGTAAGTTAAAATGGAATAGGTAATGGATATTCTTAAGAATACATGAATACCAAGAATAGAAGGTAGATATAGTACATCCACTTTGTCTTGATTGCTTTGGAATTAAAACATTATAAAATAAATTTATATTGAAAATACAAATTTACTTTATAATGAAAGTTCATATTTTTATTGTAAATTATTTCTTGCAATTTTATTACTTATATTCAATGCCACATACAATATTAGAACTTTATTTATAATGAGATTCCTTCAAAATATCATTTATATCCTGTAGATTTTAATTAAGATGTGCTCTCTTCTTAATAAATAAAATTGAAAAAATATTCTTTTTATGCTAAATATTTTATTTTGTATGTATAAAGTTTTGAAAGNTGAAATAATTATATTTTATATAATGAAAATTACTGCATAATAAATATAGAATGTTTTTAAGTAATATTTACTTACATGTACTGTATTTATGTATTATTTCATGCATATATACAGTATGCTCTCACTAATCTAAATGCCACATAATTTGAACTAATTTTGTTTGTTTAGCCACTAAATGGCTAAGCCAAAAAAGAAAAATTCTTAGATTATTTTTTAAAAACATGTCAAATTTGTAAAAATTATATATATTACAAATTTTAATCTAAATATATGTATCAAATACAGTATAAAATTTTTTAAAACATATGTGTATTTATCTATAGTTCTTTATAATTTTATTTCCTTTATATGTAACTCTGCTAATCTAAACATCTGTACAATAATTAGTTCAGATTAGTGAGAATGCACTGTTTATATGTGTGTATATAGTTTTTCTCANTATATTACAAATTTTAATCTAAATATATGTATCAAATACAGTATAAAATTTTTTAAAACATATGTGTATTTATCTATAGTTCTTTATAATTTTATTTCCTTTATATGTAACTCTGCTAATCTAAATATCTGTACAATAATTAGTTCAGATTAGTGAGAATGCACTGTTTATATGTGTGTATATAGTTTTTCTCATTGATATTTATTTTATAAAACCATCATTATTTCATGCTTATAATATTTATAGATAGTTCACACTTATGCAAGATTTGCAAATAATAATCCTCAAATACTTGGAATTGGAGGAAATAATGGCACAGTTCATGTTTGGAATTTAAAAATTCAAAAATCCAAATCTGTGTTTACAGTAAGTAGTTCATGATAAATTAAAATTGAATTAAATTGCATTATCATTATATTTATGTATTTAAATATTTGAGATAAATTACTATTATTTATTTAATAATATAGAAAACTAAACCATTAAAATTGTCAATAAAAGTTTTTATATGTTTATTTAGAAGCACACAAATGAAATTACTTGTCTTCAGTTTAATTGGAATGATTCATATATTGCATCTGCATCATCAAATGGAAATATTATTTTGCATAATGTATTGAAGAATGAAGAACACGCATTATATTCATCACCAAGACCAGAAGTAAGTGATTTTAATTTTTATACAGATAATTAATTTAACATTTTAATATCATCCACATATATGTCAATATCCTCAAATAGTAATGGACCTTGAATAGTAACTACTATTCTTTACATCTTGAAGTAGTAATTGTCCTCGAATAGTAACCATCTACTATTCCATATTATTTTTCTGAAAACAGAAAAATAATATAAAATTAATAAGTATCATAAACTATGATAGATAGGTACTGTATTTATTTAACAAACTAACTTTAAAGTGTGATTTACACTGAATGCAAAGGCTGTGAAATGTAACAAAGCAAAAAGAACAATCAAAGAAATGTAAGTGTACATAAGCTCACAAATTTCCAAATCAGCCATGGGAGCATAGGAGTGGCAATTAGGGTGCATTGATAAGCACAAGCCAATGAAAACAATGTTTTCATCTCAACTAGAATTCTCAATTCATAGCATTAAAAAAATGGTGAATGTGACAAGCTGGGAGAATGACCTAAAATTTATTTTAGAAATTGAGAAAAGACTTGTTTTGTATAACATGGTTTTAAATGAGTACAGGTTTCAAAAATCAAGAGAAAAGGTTTAGAGAGAAGTTCAAGTGGTTTGTGGTACAAACAGTGAGTTATACTCACCACCATTTACAGTGTGAATGAAATTTGTTTTACTCACCTCATTTACTTTGAAAGCAGGTACAGATCGGTATAGTTCAACAATGTCAATTTTAAGAAATTACAACTTAAAACGGTTATTTGAAAAACAAAGATATTTAAATATCTAATCTTAAGATCTTTTTCTGGGATAATAACCAATAAATATAAAATTCTACCAAACTGATTGACAAATGAAAATTTTAAAATTACCCCAAATTTTTGATTGGCTGAAAGTCAAACAAAAACAGACTGATGTTTGGAGAAAGTATTCATCAGTGTAATTCCATTCTATTAAACTTTTCTCTCTCTCTCACTCTCTACAAGTATGTAAAATTTTTTTACTGCAAAATTGAAAAATATAATATGAAATTTTTGTGCATCAGAATATTGAAATGTAATGTACTCATATTATATGTTAGAAGTATATTATATTATATGTTTCTTACATTTTTACTTAAAATGTAAGAAAAAAGTGTCTTACATTTTTGAAAAAAAACAAGACAACTTAAGACAACTGATAAGTTAATTGTAATTGAAATTAGAATTGAATGAGTTTGCTCTTGAATTTAAAAATATCAAGAGCAAACTTATTCATTTCTAAGGATTCTCTTAAAAGAGAATCATCTTTATCCTCTTCTTTATGCAAACTTTATGGTTTTGTATATGTCGTCATATCCTGCTATAAGGACTAGTGTCAGAATCCTGATGTTAACATAATTAATTGCTTGTACAATGTAATGATGAATCCTTTCAATAGCAAATAACATATTTCATATAAAAATTAAGACTGCTGTTCTTGCAAGTTTTAATACATAATTTAGAAGTATTTAATTTTCCAAGTACTTACATATGTATTTCTTACAAATTCTTATTTTAATTTACTTCTTATCCATATGATAAAAATTTTATATACTTAATAATAAGTTAATGTTTGACATACTTTACAAATATAGCAGAAATAAATATAATGTTAATTTAAAAATACTAGTAGTAAAACACATCCTATTTATTTAGACTTTTTCAGCTTGTTCAGCTCAGTTTCAGATTATTTCAACTTGCTTTGAACTCAAAAGAAAAGATATTAATTTAATTTTATTTAATTTGTAAAAAAAACTTGCTTTAGAACATGTAATACTTAAAATTTAAATATTTATATTCTTTTTGAAGTATCTTTTCTTTTAATGTTTGACTATACATAAACTGAAAACACCTTAATAACCAAGTGAAAAAGGCATTTTTATTAATATTTTAATTAAAAGTATACTGATTTAACATTTATTCTATCATATTCTTATAGTATTTATTTAAGAATATGCAGGAAATTTTATTAGAAAAATTTAGAATTACCATATTTACTCAAATATAAGATGCCATCAAATCTAAGACTCACCTTAATTTTTACATGCTCATTCACAGATTTTTTTTTCTTCATTTTTGAAAAAAAACAAGACAACTTAAGACAAATTTATTGCACAGTAAAGTATATGCAATAAATAACACTGTCTTTCATAGTATCAAAGACAAAAATCTCTTCACTTTTTATGTTAGGATCTTCTGAATCAACACTGAATTTGATGCTCATATCTTTTCACATATAGTCATCCTCAGTGTCATTTCAAGCATTGGAAATGCAAAATTTCTTGAAAGAGTGCTGCAAAACTTTTTTCTGCAATTTTTATCCAAGTAGTTATGATGTTATTGAAATAGACTAATAAGATTGAGCTAAGTATTGAGTTCTTAAATATTTACTATTTTGAATGTAACTGGAATTTTTTCCAAATTACGCTAATAGAATAGAATTGAATTGAATTTTGAATGTTGGTCTAATAAAATCATTAAAATGACACAATGGAATTAATGCCAGAGAAATAAGTTGCATGGATTGTATTAGACATTGCTAATTATGACATATATTGAATCTAAGACACACCCTATTTTCAGAAATTCTTGAACTTGAAAAAAGTGTCTTACATTCAGGTAAATATGGTAATTAATTAATTCATTTTAAAATAAATTGTGTATTATGTTATGTATTCATTTGTGTAAATTATATTTAATTTTGTATTTATCTCTATATCAGATTATAACAAAATATTTTTAATATTTCAATAGTGTATAAATGCTCTTCAGTTTAGTTATGTTAAAAAATCAGTGTTGGGAACAGTATCAGCAAGTGGAAATCTCTCACTGTGGGATATAAATGAATCAAAGTTATTGTATAGCTTTAAACAATCTCATACATCTTCAGCTACAGGTATAGCCTTTTCACCAGTTAATCATCTTTTAGTTGCAAGTGTGGGACTTGACAAACGCTTAATATGTTATGATCCACAATTGAGAAGGTAAATATAATATTTCTGATATATTTCTATTTTGTTTGAATGATTTATATTTAAGTAATAAATGTATTTAAATCATATTAAACTTACATAGTATCTAATTAGCTTTGTCAATTTAAGCAAAAGTGAATTTGTTCTTGAAGTTCTATATTTTTATTACATGGTCAGGATTTGCAATTAGTTTTTTCAGAAATAAAATATTTCATTGTGTTGAGTGTTTATAATATGAGCTCAGGATTTAAAAATGCTTTAATGCATTAACTATTGAGAATTTTACACTTTATTTTTAGATATTTATACAGATAAATATAATTATTAGATTTAAGATTTGTGTCAATATAATTTATTACAGATGAGTGATTCTTTTGTTGAAATTCCATTATACATCATGATTTATTAAAGATAGAATGAAAGTTCTGTTATCATTTAATTTATTTTAATAAAATATAAACTAATAAGTAGAAATTTAAAATTTTGCACATAATATCAATATGTTTAACAATATTATTTTTTAAATATGAGAAATGATGACTTGTATTTTTGAATATCATCATTTATTATTAACAAACTATAAAACAATGCACTTAATAAAAATTATTTGTATTTTTTTTTTTTTTTACAAAATTTGTTATGTACAGATTATCAGATAAATATATTGTTAGTATTGAACAGTTTTTATTCTTAAAATCATTCATTCATGTCTTTAATATTTATTAATTTAGTCAAATACAAAAATTATTTATATAATTTTTTTTACTAGCTGTATTAAAACTTATCGTACTGAAGCTCCATTAACAGCTATAGATTTTATGAATGATGGAATTACTTTAGCTGTTGGTTCTCTGAAAGGAAAAATTTATGTTTATGATCTTCGATCATCTAGTACACCAATGAAAACATTATCTGCTCATAATAATTCAATCAATTCTTTATCATTTCAACATTCTTCATATAGTCTTTCCAATAAGGTGAGTTTATTTTAGTACATTAATTGATTTTGTTAATTTTTTGATTATTATAATTGTTTTATTAGTTACATCATAGAAATATTTTAAACTAACAATTATTATAAGACATGTTAGTATTCTATTTAAAAATGACAGATTTATATGCTTAAATGTTTGAAAAAATGGCAATAATTAATGTGTGATCAATGATATTGGAGTATAATAAAATTTATTTGTTTTTGAGAGATTGTAAAACATTATTACTAAATAGTAACAAAGTATGTATTATTTTTAAGTAATGAATTGGCTCCATTAATGTATGAATTTTTCATTATTTGAAATTGTGCCTATGTTCTTTGTACACTTTTTTAAAACTATTAATACAATGAGGTGTTGATTGAAGACATTCAATTCTTTACACTGGTCAATACATCAGTCAAAAAACATTTAAGCTTAAAAGCTCCTTTAAACTTATACCCTAGTTAAATTGGTAAAATGATTGTAACAAAACAGTTTCTGTTTGACATAAAAGTATTTTGTTGATATCAAACATAACATCATTTGGGTTTATTTAAAAAGTACGAATATACGAGGTCTGTTAAAAAAAATATGCGGACTGTTTGAATTGCGCGGCTCCAGTTGGTTCCAGAGGAATCAGCTTGGTGTCATTAGGTTTGTACAGATTGTCTGGTAATAAAGCTGTTTTCCGATTACAGATATCTTTATTTGTTGATTAGCTACACGATTTTTAGTGAAGTGTGATTTTTTCGTTTGTCAGATTTCAGAATGAATGACCTGATGGAGCACTGACTTGCTGTTAAACAGGTAATGAATCATGGGTTTACAGGTATGACATTGAAACTAAGGTCCAATTGTCCCAGTGGGTGGGTGAAACATCCCCAGATCCAAAAAAGCTTGCAAAGTTTGATCCAATGTCAAGGTGATGCTGACAGTTTTCTTTGATGCTAAGGGTGTTGTTCACCGCAAATATCTCCCCAAGGCTCCACAGTGAACCAGACTTACTACATTGAAGTTCTGAAATGTCTGAGGGACACCAATCCGTCACAAAAGGCCAGAAATGTGGAGGAGTGGTGACTGCTTTTTCCATCACGACAATGCTCCAGCCCATTCAGCTTTCAGAACTCGAGTTTTTGGCCGAACACTCAATCACTGTACTTTCCCACCCCTCTACTCATCTGACCTTGCTCCTTGTGACTTTTTATTGTTCCCCAAATTCAAAAGACCCTTGAAAGAAAGATTTGAGACAATTCCTGAGATTAAGGCAAATGCAACGAAGGCGCTGAAAGACATTACAAAAGAAGCGTACCAGGACTGTTTCAACAAGTGGAAACACTGTTGGGATAAGTGTGTGCATTGGGAAGGAGAGTACTTTGAAGGAGACCCAGACTTGTAACTTCTACATAAAATACATTTTGTTTTATGACATCAGTTCGTGTATTTTTTGAACAGACCTTGTATATACAGTAGAACGTTGTTTATCTGAAAGCCAATCAACCGAAATGTCAGTTAACCAAAAACATTCCACTTGGACTGTGTTGTGCTGAATTGAACGTTTTTGATACTAGATTAACTTCCAAAATATAATTTTTTTGTTTTTATATTTTTCAATATATTTATTTTGTTTGTACAAAATAAAAAAATAATTTTTAACGATACAATAGCCATGATTATTATTTTTAAAAATTTACATTAGGCTTAACATTGATGAAAATTCAATGCGAAATGACACACAATGGAGAAAAATTTCAACATGAGATAGGTTAATATATTTTTTTGTACATAATCGGTTTTCTGAAAAATAAGTTATCCAAACTACNGAATTCCTCCCTAAAAAAATCTAAAAAGCTGGATTCAGTTTTGCACCTCAATCTTTGTTTCTTCAGCTGTATTATCTTGGCCTTTTTCTCCATATCTTTTATAAAAAAATATATATTGTTTATTTAAAAAGTCCATTTTTTAAATTGATAGAATCAGTTAAAAAGATTTTCAATAGAACAGATATAAAATTTAAGTTAAAATTTAGTTATAAAACATAAGACTAGTGAAAATGTCTTTTATCTTCCAGTATCCTTGATTCAATTCACAAATATTAATTTGGATAATTAATATATTAATATGATAAATTAATAAAATAATAATTAATTAATATTAAATATTAATTTGTGAATCAATTTTAAATTTCTAATAATGAATAGTGAGAAATGGTAAATTAATAAAGTACTCAGTTTGTTTGTAAAAATAAAATCTTAATGCAAAATACAATATTTTACATTATATAATTAGATTACATTATTACATAACATACATGCAATATACAATATTACAACATTGATACTAAATGTTCAGTTGTGATACTGTTTAAATACTTTAAAAACTAACAAATTCTCTTGAAACATATTAAATGATCATTAGTTCTATAAATAACTAGTTTTACTGTTGTAGTGAATAAATTTTTTCCTATCTTAATAGTTTTATAATTTTAAATATTGTACAGTTTCCTCACTTCATTATTGTGGAAATAAAATAATATTATATTAAACTTTGTCACAATTTATAAATAGTGTTTTCGACTAAAAAATTCCTGAAACTATCTAAATCCCAGGAAAAAAGACTGTAACATGAGTTTTTATTACAGTAGAATCTGATTAACTGAAGTCCTGCATTATTCAAGACAAACCTGTAAGTGAACACTACTTTTCTTAACTCTAAAGGATTTGTCACAAAATTTTGTCTTGTCTATAATTTGGCACTGTTGCAAAGTTGTAGATGGGCTTTCCATTAATTCAAACTTCAATTTCCACTGAATTTAGTGGGGTGGATACACCAACCTGGCACACTGATAAATAGTGATGACATGTGCTCAGATGTTTTGATCAGTAGTCCATCTTATGTTTTGCTGCATCATTAACAGTTGACTTCATGCTGTCAAATTGTTTATGTGCTCAATTGTTTTCATCACATTGCATTTTTTTGTGTTTAAATTGTTAATTCATTAAAATATGTGAGCATTCAAGAATCTGGCGATCTCTTAAATCCAACTCTGTTCTTCTTCCATATATGTTGGTTTATTGAGATTGTTCTATATTTTGTTTATTTTCTTTTTGAAGTTGTAATAAAATAATTATTGACTTTTGTTTTAGTCCCTTGGACCTACAAAAAAATCTGCTCAGCTATGCAAAGATAAGGAATTGCTTGCTTCCAATGATGTAAATATGAATCAGAAAGCAGTTCTTCGAAATAAAGATATTAACTGTAATCTTTCCCCAAAAGTCCTTGATAAAAGTTCAGGTAACTAATTTATTTTTTATTTACAAACAAATTTATATAAATTTATTAAAAATATTCATTTTTGTGTAAATTGAGAATACTTGATTGGAAATACAATCACTGTTAGATATATTTATTTTTGTTTCAGACTTAATTTCATTTATTTTTTTATTTATGAAATGTTTGCAAGTTTTATGAGTTAAGTAGAAATACACAATTGAAAAATATTTAAAAATTAAGAAATTCACATGTAAAATACATGTAAATGATAGGAACTGAAAGTATAAAAGTATTTTCTGAAATTTATACTGAAACTGAATGGAAAATCAAGTAAAGCTAGTCTATACTTTTTACATACAGAAAATTTTCTGTCAGTTTAGCCGGTAGGAGAAGTTTTTCATGATGATCATCTAATCATGTGGTTATCTTAATTCAAAAAAAATAGTAGATACTCTTTTTGCTGGCATGATGACTAGTAACTAGATGTTTAAATTTAAATTTTGATATAAGATTTAATGTACTGCATATTTGAGATTATTAAATTTTACTGATTTTTAATATATTTCACTCTATTGTTTGATATGTTCATATCAATTGGATTAACTGTTACATTATTAAATCATGTAAGCTATATCTTTGAAACAATTTACAAATTCATTAAAATCAATTATGACATGGTTTGACTAAATTATTTTCTAAAATTCATTATCATGTAGGCCAAATACAAATTTTTTATTAGTGATTGATTGATTTATAAATGGCGAAATTTCTGAAAAAAATTTTCAGAAATACTTTAAATTTAGAGATGGGTGCACTCCTGTAACTTAAAATTTCTGTTGCTGTGTTGCTCCTGCTGTTGGCTATGTATCCTTCAAATATAGAGGAACATGCAATCCAGGCATTTTTTTCATAGTGAGTGGATCCAATAATGCCCTCCTGGCCTAATTAACCCAAGTAGAAGTTTATTTTTCTGAATCACTTTTTCTAAGTATGTGGGTAGATGTATTGGCTGATTTTACAGGAAGTGCAGGCTATGTTTTCTCGACCAACTTAGCTCAGTTGCCCATTCATATGTATGGGCTACTTAGCTAAGATTACTGACCTTGAGCTAGATTTGAAACTTTAAAAAAGATAAGCTACAGGACACTTTTTTGAGAGCTTCTAGTCTATACTATTTTCATAATCAATTTTTAGGTACTTTTCTGATTGAAAACTACTAGTCCCAAACTTTTACGTTTTTAAATACTTTGTCTATGAAAAAATATTTTCCTTTTTTACTTGAGAGCATTTTTCCATAAGCTAATATGCAATAAAAAGATCTTGAAATATATATTTTCTTTTATTTATTAACATTATGCTTTAACTTGTGTGATTTTGTTTTTAGAGAATAGTTTTGAAGTTACTGATAACAGTACAATTCCTACAAGTTCATCACTAAGTAAGTTTATNAAACCTTTTTCTCTGGCCTTCGATGCTCGGGCAGCGATGACTCTCGAACGGCGCTGACGGATGCTTGATTCCCAGACGGCAATGACGGACCCCCTTCTTCTTTCGTCACCCCTCTTTTATATCTCAAGTCACGTTATCATTTTTCACCAATCGCAAATTTTTTTGCAATAAGTTCCCTGTGATTCATTCTCGAGTTCCAGAAAGAAAGGAAACGGCTCTGGGGAAGGAAATGTGTTCATCCTTTTGTTATAAGATTTCGAAGAGATTTTGAAACAGGAGAAAAGTGGAGGGTTTCTTTGTTTAATTTAAAAAAAAATTTTTTTGTTTAATTTTATTCGGTCTGACCCTCACACATCACACATACGTTTTCTTTTTCATATGATGAAATTCATCGTTTCTGTTTCCGTAAATATCTTTGATAATCTGAAACTGTTTTGTGACTCTTCTTTGATTCTTAAACTTGAATTTCATAGACTTAATAGACTTACACTACCTCAAAATACACCTCATCAACTGAAGTAAATAAAGATGATAGAACGCCAAGTGTTTGAATTTATTACATACATAGTGTTTAAGAATCAAAGAAGAGTCACAACACGGTTTCAGATTATCAAAAAAAAATAAATAGTTGAGTTGGTTTTTAAAGATGTTTTAGAAAGTTCACATATTTATAAATTGAGATTTTAGAAAGTTCTAACTAACAGTTGTTATCTGGCAAAAATTCCTCCTCAAAATATTTTAACCTCAACCTCTGATAAAATTTACATTTTAAAAGAAAATGTGATGTGTTTAGTTCTTTACATTTCTAAACAGATATTTGGGAATAGTTTAACAATTTGAATTTTATAACAAACATTAAATTTATTTAATCTCACTTGAAGTATTGAAGAAAAAATATCATAATGTAAGTTAAAATGGAATAGGTAATGGATATTCTTAAGAATACATGAATACCAAGAATAGAAGGTAGATATAGTACATCCACTTTGTCTTGATTGCTTTGGAATTAAAACATTATAAAATAAATTTATATTGATTATTTTCATATTTTAACTTATTTAACCTAATATTTTCAGGTGATTTTTCATAATAATTTTATTCATTAAATTAAGGTTAAAAATAAATAAATTATAGCTCAAATCAATGATCTCCAGCTTTAGTAAATATTGTAAGACTAAGTGTATGTTAATTAGTATTGAAGTGAATTTTTCTTGTGATATCACAAAAAATCAATACATTTGTCTGTTATAACTTTTACTGTTTATTATTAAGTCAATACCAATTTGTCATATTCTTCAATAAAAAATTGACATAACTATTAAACGATTCTCAGATCAACATGCTGGATATTTCATGTAACAGACAGTTAAGGAAGAAAATTAATTGAATGGACTTGTGAAATGGTTTATTTACATTTCATACTTTAACTTGAAGTTCTCTATGAGACTTCCCTGGGGGTTTTGAACAGAAAGTATTTAAATTGTTTTTTATATAAAGATAAGACTGTAGCAGTTATATTATTAAATTATTCAAACTATAAAACAGAGAAATGGATTATTAAATATTCAGGACTTGAAATTTTCTGTCACCGGGTTACCATTGACAACTAGAAACTTTTATTTGCTGACTAAAAGAACATAGCTAAAAATTTTATCACTACCAATTCAATTTTTTTTCTGTGGGAAAAAACAATGAAATGCATTTAATGCAACAAGATTGTCAATGACTAGTGCATGAAGGGGCTGTGTCCATAATTTTGGAAATTTTTAATTTGTAGCTGTTCTCCTGATTTTACATTTTGTTTAAAAATTATCCCCAAAAATATTTATTTAGCTTGCTCTGGTTGTTAGATGGAATTTAGTAACAGATTGCTTGATTGCTCAGTTAAGCTTAATTTGTATATGAACTACCATCTACATTTCAGGCAGGTTTCAGTGGAAAATTAATTTTTTTAAATACAGTGAAAACTGCTTAGGCGACCACCTGCATTCGACGGGCACCTCTCAAAATGGGCAAAAATTTCTGGCACGGAATAGTTTATCCATAGAGTCTTCGTATAAGTTACCTGTATTAAACGACCACCTGTGTAACGCGACCGCGGGCATCGATTTTTGGTCCGAAACAACATACAACACCTATAATAAGCGACCACTTTCGCGAATGTATCTGATCTAAACTGTTGTAAGAACCCATCTCAACAACGTTTCCACTTCCTAATATAATGAGTTAGTCTAAACTCATTATATTAGAACTCTCGTTCGACCCATCCAGGGCACTTCTCCCACCCTTGAAATTAGGTGCAGGTGTTAATAAATTAGTCTAGCAACAAAAGAAATTCATTTCAGTTTGCTGGAAAATGTCCGAAATACAAAGTGCTATCGTTAGAAGATCGTATTAAAGTTATCACAACAGCAATTAGCGGCGAAATTTAACTGTGGGAAAACAAAATTTATTTTACCGTAGACCTACAGTAGTTTCCTTGGGGTGTAAAATATTGTACACGATACAATTAATCGGCTGATCACATCGTTTGATAAAATCTATTTTTATTTAGGGGAGATCGGGGCAAGATCGGCATGTTAAGCTTTACTTAAATNACAGTATTTTTAAAGTTAAAATAAGATTAAACTAACGAAAACCAAAAGCAAAGTGATGGAGAGATAGGACGCGGTTGTATATCGATGACGTAATACACGTAACTGAGGAGCGAACCAAAACAACCGAGTCGAATTAATTAAGTCGGAAAAAAGAAAGTGTGCATTATAATCGAGAAAATGCGACTACTGTATTAATCTTTAAAATATTGGTGTTAAATCTGTCTTATAATATCATGACGACTCCTGTAAATCGGGTTATCCGATAAGAATAAAATACAATACCAATATAGCCCTATCGTTGAAAAAATTCGCTTATTTTTGCTCGCCTCGAATTTTGCTAAGTAGAAATGGCTAAAAAGTGCGCAAAATACGTACGGAAATACGGTATTACAGCACCATCTGTATTGGACGACCACCTGTCTAAAAGACCACTTTTTGAAGGAACCGTGGGTGGTCGCCATAGACAGGTTTTACTGTATATATTTTTGTTCTATTTACATCTGAATTAATGTATTTCTCAATTGACTATAGAAAAAATTTAAACAGTTGATTTTAAAAAAATTTTAAACACATAAAATTGTTTGTTGTTGGTAGATGGCTGTCAGAGGAAAACAATCACATGATCCAAAAAATCTCAAGCAATAGTTTGGTCAAAACAATTGACCATGATCTAAAACTTAGTCTTTCTGAGTCATGTGTACTGAACTGATTTAAATTGAATACTGGTCAATCATCAACTTAAATCTCAGTTTAAATCAGTATTAAAAAGATTATTTGAGTTATTGACTTTTACTGCTATTAATAACTTGACAATTATAATACATATATCTGTATTGTATTGAACTTTTTTTACACTATTTGGATAATGCTATTTATGAATAACAACTACTTAATTAACATTGGTTTTACTTTCTCGGCTGTTATAGAATATAACATAGAAAAGTATAGTGATCAGTCAGGTATTTTGAACTCCAGGAACCCAAAAATGTAAAAAACATAAGTTAAAATTCAGTTATGAAACATAAGACTAGTGAAACCTCGTGTTTTTTTCTTCCAATATCTGTATTAAATCAGAGATCAAGACTTTTTTAAAAGCCACAGCTATTTTATTCTTTTCTTTTATAAGCATTGCATTTTGGATTAAATTTTCTTAATATCTTCTCAGGCTATAAATTCACAAAAAGAATGCATTAACAAAGTTATTTGATATATTAATTACAAATAATATAAGGTACAAAACACTAACACTTCTAACATAAGTCATTTAACTTGTTTTACCCCCATTTCATGAATGTTTTGATGTTGAATAACTTGCACAATTGATGTATTATACCAGTGTTGTTGGAGTGAATTCCTCCCTAAAAAAATCTAAAAAGCTGGATTCAGTTTTGCACCTCAATCTTTGTTTCTTCAGCTGTATTATCTTGGCCTTTTTCTCCATATCTTTTATAAAAAAATATATATTGTTTATTTAAAAAGTCCATTTTTTAAATTGATAGAATCAGTTAAAAAGATTTTCAATAGAACAGATATAAAATTTAAGTTAAAATTTAGTTATAAAACATAAGACTAGTGAAAATGTCTTTTATCTTCCAGTATCCATATTAAATCAGAGACCAAGACTTTTTTAAAAAACCACAGCTATTTTATTCTTTTCCTCTATAAGCAATGCATTTTGGATTAAATTTTCTTAATACCACCTCAGGTTATAAATTCACAAAAAAAAAAAAATTTAGGAAATTCTGTGCATGCATGTGTATCAGTTTCCATTTTGCATTATATCTCAGGACTGGATGAACCAAAAATTTTTAAACTTTGCAAGATCATTTCTATATATTGGACATTGATGCTATTAAAAAGATAATTTTTATATTATTAATTATTATAAAAGGGCATAAAGCTTAATTTTGAGATTGGAGATGGATTTAAAAAAATTTTAAATGCCAATAACAAGTTAAATATTCATTAAGTCTAACTCCACTCAAAATATGACATGTCCTCTATCTTTCCACTCCTTGATCTTTAATTGCCAAAATTTAATAAAATCTCAACAGATGGTGCCACACACAATTTTAATTTTACGCTAATGTATCTTAATGTTTTTTAAATAGAGAACTTTGTCATAATTCAATAAAATTACTCTTCTTAAACTTTCATTATTGTTTAAATTTCATATCATAGTATAATTAAAAATTATCGGCTTCCTTAATGGTTTCCTTAACCTCCTGTTCAAGTGCTGGGAAAGTTGAGCAAGAGCCCTTGCAAGCATTTTTTTTCCTCTACAGTTTAAATATGAAAATTGTTTAATAATTACAAAAAGTTTATAGATATAAAAAATACATGCAGTATATTTTAAAAGGTAGTTATTAAAATGTGATATAATTATATTTGAAATAATTCATAAATAAAAAATAAATATGTCATTTTTATATATAAATACATTTGTCTTTATCTGTGTATTTGCTACAAATCTTTATTATTCAGTTTCAGAATTTAACTTTTTAATAATTTAAAGATTGATTAATTTTATTTCTTAAATGTGTTCTGTATTTTATTTTGTAGAATTAGATTCTGTTTTTTCGCCAATTGGCTGTCATGAAAATAGTGAATCTGCCATAAATATTCGTAGACAACCAATTGGAGGAGGCAACAATACAAGCACTACTTCTAATTATTCTGAGTCAAATGTTCTTCAAAGTCCTAAAGTAAATTATGAAAATTTTTTAAAATTTTATTATTTTTATAAATAGATTTTATGTGTAACATGTAAATAAATAAATTATTATTATTATTATTATTTATATTTTGTAAAGTTCTAGCAATCATTTTATATTAAATTATTTTAAATTTTCTGAACAATTTCATTAATACTTATAAGAAAGGCTTTCAAGCAAGAACAAATTGTAACAAAATATTATAATTTTAATTTCACAATATTATTGTGGCATATACCATTATAATAAGTCGATAAACTTTTTTTGATTTAGTAGAAACAGCAATTCTACCATTTTCATGCAGCTTACAGATTCATTTTCCTATCTTCAACTGAATTTATGTAATTAGAAAACTTCCTCTCTCTATAAACAGTGAAATTAAATTGTATGATATAAACAAATACAATGTATTTAATTTCAAAAATACTAATTTTAATTTTTCAAAGTTAAAAAAATATCATATTTCTTTATATTATCAATTTAATAAATAGTTTTTTTTAACGATATTTAGACAAGAGAAAATATAGAATATTTTTTATATCATTTAACTAATGCAATATGACTTTTATACTTTCTTTTTTCTTAACTTCACTAGATTCACTTTCTAATAAATTATTTGAAAACTTAATATATTTATTATTACTTATATTAATAATAATATTATATTATATTGTTATTTCATGCTTTAATATGTTTTATGAGGTATATTTCATTGATAGTGCATGAAATATCAAAATTTTGTATTTATAATTTAGTATTCCTCACAAAAATGACTGACGGGTGCCACTGACACAATATTACAAGAACATCTAGAGATGTCACATAATTTGTTTTTACAATACTTAAATCATTTTATTTTGTTTTGTGACATGACCACTATTAAGAATACCACTACTAAAAAAATGGTTGAAAAACACTGAGATATTTTGTTACATAAAAATAGTTATAAAGCATATGTCTTATTTCAAAGATGCTACTTTTACTTATCTACAGTGATTATTTATATCAAAGTTGTCATGCAATATGACTTTACTGTTTCTGCAAAAAGGAATTTCTCTAACTATATAAATTTTTAGATTTTATAGGAAAATACATTCACATTTCAGCATTATAAACCTGTTTGGCCTAACTATTAGTCAATGTTTTTCCTAGTTTTAAAAAAGGAATAAATCACTCTAGATTTACATTTGAGCATTAACTTATATCTAAGTCTGATTAAAGTTTTTTCAATTTGATAACTGTCTGTGATACACATCATACAGAGTAAACTGACCTAAAATTTGCACTGATTGGTGCAATGATTGTCTATTAATGCTAAATGTCAACTAAGTAAGTGACCTGTCATACTGCAGTCCATATTCTATGTACAGGAATTTAGTATTTTGCATGATTATAAATAATTAATTAGTTGATTGTCAAAAAACAATTGACTACAACTAAACTGATTGATTTTGTTGAATATCATAAAGCAATCAGTTTTGGTAACTCATGCAACAATTTTATTTTGGTAACTGTTTTATTTTACTCCTAAGAGTACTAATTGAGTGATCATCAAAAATTAGGAGAAAATCACTGAAAATTTACTGTAAAAATTTATTGTGAAGTGGTAGAAATTTATTGCTATTGTAAAATGAAAATTGTATTGTAATTTTAAAACATAAAATTCTATTGAATACATAAATTTACCCTTTATAAAATGCCTTTATTTTTTTAAAGGATTTTTTTAAACCATGTTTTAGACAGTTATAAAAGTAAAGAAGCAAAAACAAAATGCAAAGTTCTGATTTCATTTTTGATAGTCATATAATTGCAAGTACACTTTCTGCAATGTGTGTGAAATATGAAAGGAAGCTTATTTCTCCTAGTATGATGTATGTGCTGGGTAATCTACTACTTGTAGGATTGTCTTAATTTTTTACTCTATAACTTTTATTAATTTCATTTTTATTGATATCAACAAAAAGAAGCAATAAGTTAAAATTAGTTTCTTGTAATACAGGTGTTGAATGCCTATATTTTTCTATAAAACAAATCCTTTGAGTACAATTTTCTGTAATTGAATTTAAATTATACTTAGTTAGTTTTTAAAAAAGTTTATAAGAAAGCAATTAAAAATTCATTTATGCTGATTGATTCCCTGATATTTGTAAATACAAACTCAAAAATAATATATTTTTATTAAATGTCAATTTTTAAAAATTATTTCTTCAAAAAAATTGATGAAACAACACCGGTTAACTTCCTCGGATTTAACCTGTTTTTTTTTCTTTTGTCTGAACCACATTTTATCAGAGACAAAAACTTCTGAGTGTTATCTTCGTTATTCTTTATTCACTATGCATTTCGGATGCAATATTTTTGTGTACCTTGCACCCCTCATCAGGTGTTACATTTCTATAAATTGGTATAAATTCGATTATTACAGTGATTATTACGGTAAAGTTACAATTTTACAATTTACAACAATTATTACATTTTCCATTATTTGGATATATTTACATAATTTTGAACTAACCTGTTTTATGTTTAGACATACAGCTACGCGGTGTTGATGTTGTATCCCCTAAGGCATTTTTAACTGTCTTTCTTTCTTTCCGTTTTCCTTGCTCTTTAGCCCCTCCCATTTCCTCCCACATGTCAACCTCCATGCCATTATTTCACAATTGTTAATAAAAACAAAACCATAAACCTCCATAGGTTTATGGTTTTGTTTTTATTAACAATTGCGAAGTGCTCTTTGAATTTTCATAGATGTCTTTTTCCCCATGGATTATTTTTACACTTTTTTCATTGATTGTGCATCCAAATTTATTACAGTGATTTGTTCATGGTGACTGGTTATAATTAAGTCTAATTGCTGTTTCATGTTCTTTTATTAAAAGACAGTTATTAAGCTTTTAATTTTAACCTTAAAATAATCCTGACCTTTGACCAAGACCTTAAGATCTAGGGTATATCTGAATGTAAAATTTCCTGCTCTTTCCATTTCCGGGGTCAAAAATGTGTGTTTCCATTGAAAAAACAGACTTGACCTCAAAAATGACCTTGACCTTGATGGTCAAGGTCACGCCTGAGGTCACCAATTGATTGCCTCTCGACACCATACAACTTTTGTTTATACCTTTCTCCAAAATAATGAGATCCAATTAAGATATTTCATTGTCTCAAGATAAAAAATACATCCTGTATATAACATTTTTCTGCTTATCAGAAATTTTTAGAAAATAAGTACACAGCTATTGTATAATAAGAAAATAATTTTGTAATACAGTAGACTCTTGTTAATTCAAATTTCCTCTTGATTCAAACTAGATGCTAGTCTCCATCTTATTCCTATTTAAATCAATGTAAAATTCTCTTGATAATTAGAACTTCCTGTTTATTCAGATCAAGAGTAAACATTAGTAGACTAACATCTTCCCATTTTTGAAATTTAAAGATTGAATTTAAAATTAATAAATTAATTTAAAAATAAATTGAATTAATTAAAATTTAAAAACATTTCAAATCAGTAGCCACAAGATTAGGATGGCTTATAGTTGCCTTGTGATGCTTGCTTGTTATGGCTTCTCGTGGGCTACTATACCTTTTAATTTATATTTCTCATTGATTAAACATTAATACCACATGACAAGCAGAATATTGTGCTGTTAAAATTTTTTTTTTTTTCAGAAATGGTTTAATTAAATCTGTTTAAGGCTCTCACTCAATTCAAATTAATGAGACTACAATATTATTAATATTTTTATTACATTAGATTAAAATAAATTCATAGAATATTATGTAACAAAAATAATGTTTTTTAATAAATTTTCAGTTTCTTTCTACTGAGTTGACATTGCCCTCTCTGTTAAAGAATTTTCATCCGTCTCCATCATCTCAAGGTAATGAAAATTAACTTTTAAAATTTTAGGTGAATTCTTTCCATCCAATTTAATGGATTCAGATTATAGCATATTATGTAATAATCTTTTTATTTTCATAACAAATAGATTTACATTTAAATGGAAATCTTAAACTTGGAATTTTGACTTCTACAATTTATTATATTATATTTTATCTAATATTTTAAATTTTTTATAAAACTACAACTTACACTTAAATCTTTCAAAAAAGAAAAAATAATGAAAAATGCTTTAAATAACAATTAATATGAGCTACAAAAATTACACGAATAATTTTCTGATCTATAATTTAATTCACAAAAGTGGCTTTTTAACTTACTATTGATATATTTGTTTGATATCAGATGATGTTATCAAAACCAGTTCTTATTTGTCATGATGTTTATAAATACACCTGTCTACTTACAGTATGATTAAAAACATTTCTATATCATTATTTGTCTGTTAAATTCAGATGGTATAGGAATTGATTATTTTAGATTTAAATTAGAAATAAACATGTGAGATAGTAAAAGAGAATTTTTTATTTATAGTTATACATAACTAGAAATAAATAATGTAACTAACTATTTTGAGTTTTGGGTAATGCTAGAAAATCTTGACTGCTACCTCAACACTTCCCTGTGAGAGCTTCATTTGCATAATCTCATAATGGGATACAATTCTATTTATTATTCAAAATTTACTAAGCTAAATATGTTAGTCATATCTATAAATATAGAATCATTTGGAATTTATTTATTTTTACATATAATCCTGAAAGAAAAGGACTGAAAGATTACATAAAGTCCTGAAAGACGATAACTGCTCCCCAAATTCACAAACATAAATATAAATACAGGGTGATCTTTAATTCATACAAAACTTTAAACTTTAATAACTTTTCAACTAAATGAGATGAAAACTCAAAAAGATTACAGTAGAGCCGCGATTATCCGACCCAATTGGGGACTGGGGTTGATCGGATAATTGAAAAGTCGGATAACCGAAAAGTATGAAAAAATCCATTATTAGTGTAGTATATTATTATATCCCATGTAATTAGTATATTAGTATATCGCTAATAACCTACTTTGCGTTGAATTTTCATCGATGTTAAGCCTAACAAAAATTTTTTAAAATAATAATCGTCACTATTGTATCGTTAAAAATTAGAAAATTAAGCCTCGTTTAAATACTGGCTCCCTTTCATGGTCGAATGAGTGTTGCCAGCTAAAACACGTAAAAATAATATTAAAGTAGCCAAGACATAGCCAAATATTGTAGCGCCACATCACTAGCGGACATTTGAAATTTGCCGACTAGGACGGTCAGTTAACCGAGATGTCAGTTAATCGAGATGTCGGTTAATCGGGGGTTGGATAATCGAGGCTCTACTGTATTATACAGAACTTATTGCCATTTAATGAATTAGGTTTTCAAAATGACAAAATTTGCTTGCAATAATAGCTTTTAACTGATTTTTGAAACATTCAATAATGGTAATAACGGTCTTTCTTAACAATAACCATTATTGTTTTTTTTATTGTGTCTATCTTTAAGATAAAACCACGTGATTTCTTTTCATGGGGCTAAGTTAGGGCTATAAGGCAACCACTCCACACCAATACCAGCTTATTTTTCATAATCAAATCTTATTACATACTGTAAAGGTTTTGGAACATTTGCTTTGTGCAATGGGGCCTTACACCATTTTGCATAAACCAAGCACAATGATTTTTATACCAACAAGCATTTTGCATTTTGGGATAAAACTTCTTTTCCAATAATTCAGCATATGCAGCAGAAGTAATGTTGTTTTTGAAGAAGAATGGTCTAATAACTCTGCTAGCACTGATGGCACACCAATTGGAGAATTAGAATTTTGATAATAATTCTTTACAATAAATGCATGTTGTTCTAAAGTGAAAGCCACTAAAAATGTAGGAAAACATAATCTAATCCTTGCAAAGTTAGCATTATGAGTATATGGTAAATTGCATAATTTATTAAAAGATAAACTTTTTGAACAGCTCTAGCAGTTTTATCTAAAAAGGAAGGTGCAGCCATAGACCAAATAAGTAATCCACAATCTATGCAAGACTGAAAATTAGTAAAAAAAAAAAAAACCAGATAGCTGTTAATACACTTTTAGATAAGATAGGTTTACAAAATCACCATAATATTCCATGTCTAATAGCCAAAGATTTAACTATTTTATCAATATGATTTTTAAAAGTGAGTTACTTATCAAAGATTATTCCCAGACCATTGAACAACAAAACAATTAACAGGAGTAGAGTCAATGGAAAAAATAGGTAAAGGAAGATTACAAATTAAAGTAAAACACATAACCACAGTTTTTTGAATTTTCAGTTTCTATAAGTGAATGTTGGTATAGAAACATGTACAGGTATCCCTTGTATAACATGGTAGATATGTTCTGAAAAAGTGCCGTCTTATGTGAATCCGTGCAATATGAAACAAAGGACTAATTGAAAACATAGGATTACGTTCCAGAAGTTAACAAAAGTATACTATTCTTTTTCATTACTAAGAGAAAAAGTATTGATTACTTTTTAACAAATATATATTTCCAATCAGTTACAACTAACAATTACAATTAAAAGTATTGTTAATATTAATTTTAGTTAAATGAGGGTGTTCTCTTTTTTCAAAGTGTTGTTATCTTCTGAGCAATTTTGTTAATCTTGATCAGAAATATCAGCAATATCTTCATTTTTATCATAATTTTCTATGAATGACAAAATAAAAATGTTATTAATCGATAATTTGTTTTAGCAGGTTGCGTTTGTTCATTCAAGATTTGTTTCCAGAATTTGTGCTCAAATACCGAATTGTTCCAGTTGGGAACAGTTTGAATACCAAGATACTACTATATTTCATTTGTCATTTTTATAAATGATTACTTACCTAGGGTTAAAAAAGTTTAACAACACTTATCTAAAAATGTTTAAATAAACTTTACTAAATACGAAGATTAAGACATTCACTATGTTTTGTTTTTATAGATTAAAGGCTAAAGTCTAAAAGCTAGGACAGGGAAGAAAAAATTCTATCAGTTTTCATTAAACCTGACAAAAGGCCCAAAACAAATTGAAAATTTTAATTATAGAATATTGAAATGAAAATTTCAATGTGTTTTTTCAATTATGTTGTTTCAATTTTCATTTCAATATTCTAAAATCTGTGGGAAAATTTGAGACAACACATGTGCTTACTTTAATAAAAAAAAATATCAAATAATGAAGCTTACACTTAAAGTTGTGAATTTTTGTATGGAGGATTTCCAAAATCATGTTAAACAAGTCCAGGAGTCATGCTGTATGAGGGATAGCCCCAATTTTCAACCATGTATATTAGAGCAAAACTGTGTTGTACAAGGGATACCTGTATTGTAAGCTTTCCAGTATGCAAATCAACAATGAATAAAAGAACATTGTCAAACTGACATTGCAAACAAGCTTTTCTCATCATATGGCTAAATCACAGGTATATCCCTATTGTAGTGAATATGAGTCAGTGACTCATTATTGGCTATCTTGCAGGCACTACAAAAAAGTGAGGAGTGCTCTCTCAATTTCACTGCTTAACAGATAACTTTGACAGATGTTTTTGCTCCTCAGATATTGAAGAGTTCTTTAGTGAGGTATATATGATAAACTGGATAATTTTGCATAGTTCATTCTAGTCATTCTAGCATAGTTGGAATTATAGTCACCATAACTAAATTAGTCCATGTTCGTACAGTAACCACTATCAATTCAATTCAGCATAATCATATTGAAGAGTAAGACATACTAACTCATCATACCACAAGAACACAGTAAATTAGCCTTCACTTCTACTGGTCAGTGTGTAGCTATTGAATTGTAAGTTAATGGTGCTGTTTAAGGGTTTTCTTCTATGTTCTTTCCATAATTAGTTTAAGTGTATGAAATTTTGAATAATTGAAATGTGGGATAAGCAGGGGGCCACTGGGTCAATCCCTAATGACCACCTAAACTGCACAGGCTGGTAAAGCCCGACCTCTGTGTCATCGGATGGCGTTAGAAGGGCAAAATCGAGTGGGGAGGTCATTGGTACATCGATAGGTGTTCTTTTGGGTGAATAAGACAGGTGCACAAATTTAGCAATTAACAAAAGAAAGTTTATTATACAACTAAACCTAAGGTTAGATGCAGTTAAATGAGGTTACATATACACTCCTACGGAGTGGATTGACAAAAGTTTCCAATCAGCTCACATGCTGACCTAATGACGTAGTTCTGTCACTACTTCCGCTGAGAGAGAGTTTACAAGAATCTATAGATATCTCAATATTCCTTGGTCAAATCAGATGACATTCGTTCAATCAGAGAGAGAGAGAGGATTTCGAAGAGGATTGGCGATTGTATGGCAGGTCTTCTGGACATTGACTTGCATGGGCCAGGACAGTCTGTTTGTGGAGGTCCGCTGAACTTGGCACCTAGTCGTTGATTACTCCGGCACTAATTAATCTATTCGCCTTCCTTCGGACTTCATATGGGACGACCACATGGAACTTCAGTGTCTCCACGTTTATGCTTAGTGCCTGGGAAAATGATCGTGTGTTTGACTATTGACAAGTCGAAGGTTCATTCCCAGGTTCAAGCATAGGTTTCTTCCGATGACATTTAATAGCAGCTGTCCCTCTTTCACAATCGAATGTGTTCCTTTTGTCATCTTGTTGTCAAAATTCCTCTCCATTTGTTTAGATAGAACGTCATCTGATCCATTCTAGAGTGATGTTTTTTTTTTTATAACAATTGCGTTAAGAAATTAAATTACAAAGTCGTAATTTTGTGCTAAATTTGCTCATTCCTCCGCTCAGGCCCATAGATAGGCCTGTGGGCTCACAGAAAGTTGTAATTTTTGTTCTGTAGTAAAAAAAAGTCTGGTACTGGAATTTTAGTTTAATTAAGTATGATAATTTTTAAAAATTAACTTTGGTGCAACGTTTGTTTTCTTAAGTTGAATCTTGCAGGTAGGTTCTAACTCTTTTCATGAATGTTTGATTTTTTCTTTAATTTATTAAATCACATCTGTCAGGAACACAAGTTATTCTCTAACATTTTGATGCCAATAAATTCAGAATAAATTTAAGATACTATGTTATTCCTTGCAAGTTGGAACACCATGTACAGTACAAGGAAGACTTGTATGGTGTTTTTAGAACAGTTTTATTTTACACACTACTCTACATTGAAGAGGACCACATAGATGGCTGAAACATGTAGACTACAGTAGATGAAATGTGTATATACTGTACATTAATTACAAAACCTTAATAAATTTTATAAAAAAACTTAGTTTCATAGAAATTATGTCAGCAATGTACAGTAAGTTATGCAAAATTTATTATATGTATTAAATACATTTTAGCTACTATAGTTTACATGTTTCAGCCATCTTGTGGCCCTTTTCAATATGAATAATATATGAAATAAAACTGTTTCAAAAACATCTTGCAAGTCTTTCTGATTGATGGGAAACAGTAAATGCCATTGTTGTATTCCTCAAAAGTTTGAGTATTAAAAGTTACCATAATCCATATGGAATGTTAATAAATGTAAAACAATTTTAAGTTTCAATTCTTTTCTTGTTGTATTTCATTTTTCAGTTTAATTTTTGCAATATTTTATTGATATAATTAAAACTATATAGAGATTTATTTGTGTAAAATGTCAAAAAATTTCATATATGCTATAAAAATATAAATATTTTAATATTTTATCATTTAGTCATTCACTGAATAACAGACAAATCAAATATGTATTTTTACAGGTTAACATTAAAATCTCAATTTTGAATTTGCATAATCAAAGAGAAAATTACCTTTCATTATTTAGTTTGTAGATTTATTATAAATATTTTCATACATGTATGTGTTCTATTCAGCCACATCCACATCTATGTAACAATGTTGGGAACAGTGTGCTGTTACTACTCAATAAACTAATTTGGTTATGGCAAAAGATCCTGCAGCATAACATTTGACATCACTTGAAAGTTTACCATTTCTTGAAACTGACAAGCAATGGTTTACCATTGCTTGTCAGTTTCAAGCAATGGTAAACTTTCAAGTTCACAAAAAAACTGACAAGCAATGGTTTACCATTGCTTGTCAGTTTTTTTGTGAACCATCAAAGGTTGACACAGTATTTAGCATGCCTTGGGGTAACACAGGTGTTGAACACTTTAAGCAGCTGCAGCCTGTTCACTAGACAAATTGTTTGTTCAAATGGTATGTCACAGGGTACAAAACAATGTACACCAAAATCATCTTGTCTCTTTTCACAAAAATGATACAAGATGTGGTTCATGAGGTAACAAAATGCCACCCACAACATTGTGAAATAGATGTAGACATGAATTGAACACATTCTATAAAGCTAACAAAATATTTAACTATATTATTTCAGAAATTGAACAGTGTCTACTAAGGCAAGCCTGTAATATAGATAATTCTCAAGAAACAGTTAGTAACAGTGATGGTCTTGCCTCTTTATCATTGAAAGAAAAATCTTCCCATGCATCAAACATTCATAATTCTGGCACTCGACATATAGGAACATTGGGAGCATGGACCGATTCAAATGAAAATTCCATACCAAAATCACTTTCTATTCAAGATAATTTAAAATCAATAACTCTGGAGGATCATTCAAATAATCAGATATTTCAAAATGTAACAAATGATAAAGTCCAAAATGAATTTAACATCAATGAAAATGAACATAAAATGGATTTGGATTCATCAATTACTAAGGAAGGTCATAATGTAATTTCTGTAAGTTTTTCTTTGCAATTTGTTTTATAAAAAACACTTGTCTTAGTAGCATATATTTCTGTAAAACTGATTTATTAATATATTTTTTTATAATTACATAAACTGAATAATAAACAATAAGGAAAAAGTATGAGATTATTACTGATATTAAACTTTATAGTTTCTCAGATTTTACCAGTACAGTCGACCCCCGTATAAGATCATTGATTATTCCGTTTTATATGAATTCCATGTTGTACAAGTCACTTAAATTTTACAAATACGTGAGCCGTTCACAGCCCGGTACACGTATTTGTAAAATCTAAGTGACTCGTACAACATGGAATTCATATAAAACGGAATAATCAATGATCTTATACGGGGGTCGACTGTA